AAAACAAGCATATATATACACAATCCAACTTCCAGCATGTATATATACAACCAACAGTAAAGTTCAAGCCCAAGGGCAATATCAGAGCATCTACACATATTAATTTACAAGAAGAAGATACATTTGGAGGGTCAAGAATCGTACACCAAACTGAAGAGATGCAGGAAGCGGAAACTGCCCTATGGTGGCTCTCAGATGCACGTCTACTGCCTGAGGGCGCAAAACATTAAAAAGATGAGTAAACCCAAAAACAAAGTTTAGAAAATATGTAAGAACATACTAATCCCACTGTAAAAACAGTTAGTCAAAACTAAATCATTCTCTTTATCATATACGTACTGAAATCAATGCACTCATATATTTATAAATATATGCCAATCATACTCATGGTCATCTTTAAACTCTTAAAAGCTCTTAAATCAGTTTAAAACTACCACCTAGGTGTGCCCATTTAATTATTTCAATTCCTGATATCCGTCAATTCCTGATAATCCGTCAATTCCCCTGGCAGGTCTCGGTGACACAAAGTCAACCCGAGCCACAAACTGATAGGATTCAGGGGACCGTAGTCAACATGATCCGCATTCCTGGCTTCGCACGAGTCCAGATACCATAGAACTTGTGGGGTAACTGTCAAGCATGTTGACTAAACCGAAGGCAACCAATATAATCCGAAGGCAACATATTTACCGAAGGCTCCGTGGACATCGTCATATCTGAAGGCAACATGTTTCTATAACTTGGTACCTAAGGTGGCTTAAGAAAATATAAAGACTTTCTGAAATAAATCTGATGAATACTGAATTCTGTTAAATTTAGAACTCTGCTGCCATTTATCTGATATTTAACTAAAATTTCCTACTCCTCTACCCTTAAAGGGTATTTCACTTGGCAGCATATAACTTAAAATATTTAAAAGCTAGTATCAATTTATAAATCACTAATATGTGAATAAAATTTATTCGAGATTAAATACTGTAACTGAATTGCATAAATTCATTTATGAAAACAAAGAGTCCACTCACTGTTGGTCTGAGCTCGCTGAACCTTTTGAAGGTCCCTCATGCAGGTAAACTGGTGCTCGGGTGCCTGATTCAATTACCATAATAATATATATTAATAAAACTGCTCGGTATAAATATTTAAATAAAACCCTGACCCGCCTAGAAGTGCATGCATCAAATTAAAGTAACTCATATGCCCACATTAACGTTCCTTTGAACCTGGGACACAAGTCCCGTGAGTCTGGTCTCGATCGGACGGTTGGATTGGTCACAATCGCACGATCAACGGTTCCATTGTATTGAACCTGAAAATCACACAAGATGTGAGATCCGTTCGGGGTTCAAACGTTATCCAAATTGAGATCCGCGAATTCCTACGTGCTTGTGACAACACAAGGATCATTCTAGGACTGAGTGTGGTCCCTACCAAACTGCCTACACCCTACCACACGCTCCGGCAGTGCGTGGGTGGCTTGATAAATTCCTGGCTGCCAGAAAAACTCCAAACCGCCGGCCCAAACTCCTATAGTGGCCGAAATCACACCCATTTTGGAACCACTTTTATTCTTGGACCTACCCCAAAAAGTGGCCGAAAGTGGCCGGAATCACACTCTCAAAATCGGCTGAAACCTAGATTGAAAATCGAACGATCTACGCTTGAAATTTCTGGAATCCTACATAACCAGCAGCTAGAGCATGGAAAATAGCTAGAAAACCATACCTCACTCGTCCGATTTGGTGGCTGGATGACGAAGAACGAAAGCTTGGAATTTCTGTCAAAATCGGCAACTTCCTTCGAGTTTTCCGGCGGTTTCGCTGCGGCTGGCAGCGAGAGGTGGTCGGGGGTTGAAGACAGAACCAAGCTGGTCCTTTTGGCACCGACAGCAAGGTCTGGGTGGTCAGATAAGGTGGCTATGGAGGTTGGAAGATCCTGCGGGAGGAAGATCGTCGGGAGAGAGAGAAAAGACTGAGGGAGAAGAGAGAGAATTAGGGTTCTAAAATTCTGACTTTGCAAATTACCATTTTGCCTTTCCACGTATTTTCTTCGTCAAAACTCCGATTCGAGCCCACTACATATCTACGGACTCGTTTCACCGCGTTCTACGTAACGGTGCATGTGGAATTGCCAAATTCTTTCTCGGTCAAAAAGTCAACTTTTCCTTTACTATAATATTCTAAGGGCAAAAGTGTCTTTCCCTCTTAATTGTTTAATGGTTAAATACTAATTAATGTTTGGGTTATTACAACCCATCCCCCCCCCCTAAAGCCTAGTGGTGAGCCTACTAACAAATAGAAAATGCCTCCTTGTGACTGGATAAACGTGAATTTTGATGGTTCGGTGCGTGACAATATGGCTGCTATTGGTTTTGTGATTCGGGACTAGAACGGTAACGTTAGGCTTGCCGAAGCTAAGAACATAGGGCAGGTCTCGATCAATGTGGCAGAGTGTTTGGCTCTTCAGGATGACTTGGCCCATGCCATCAAAAATGGTTGGCGTAAATTTTTTAATTGAATGTGACTGCAAGCTCGTCATTAATTGTATCAATAACAAAATTTCGATTCCTTGGAGCATTCGTCTCTTGGTTCAAGACATAAGGTTGCTTAGCTCCTGCTGTGAAGAAATTTCCTTCCACCATGTTTTTCGAGAAGCAAACTTTACTGCTGATTCTTTAGCTAATTTAGGCCATAATCTGAACACTTCCCACCTTTGGGAGCAGGGGCTTCCTCTTAGTTGCTCCGCTCCATTTTATTTTGATTTAGTTGGGCCTGCGTGCCCTCGTGGTTTCTAGTGGTAAGTTTCCTTTTTCCTATAAAAATATATATATATATATAAATATTTTATCACTTTAAAGCACACATAAACCGAAATGTTAAATTCAACTTGTTAAATTCATTGATGACCATTTAGAGCATCTCCAAGGAAGATGTTAAATTCAACTTGGCACTTTTAACATATAGAAAAAGAAGCTAAGATTCACTCCGATCGAAATGTTAAATCATATGTGGAATAACATGTCTCTCTCTTACTGTTATTTTTGGTTGTTTGACTTTGTGATGTTATTTCGTTATTTTATTATTATTTTTCAATCAATGTGCCTAGATCGTTGTAAACCAATAAATAATATGTAATAAAATAATATTTTAATTTGACATATAGGGTGGAATGTAAAACCATATGTCAAATTGTCATATAAGCCTTCAAATTCAAATTTAATGTTTGATATTTGACCTCAAATTCAAATTGCTTTAAAGCATTTACAATGGTTGTTAGTTCAATGTATTGAACTCTTTGGCATTTATTGAATTGAACTACAGTTTTACTTGCAATGATACAGTTTAATAGCTTCATATCAATAGTTATATCTTCTTACTTGTCTTTTTTACATACTCAAATAAAATAAAACAGATAAATTTTATAACACTAAAAATTGCAACATTGAAATATTCTAAAAAAGATCTTTAAAAAGAGACCAATTTTGAATAGGCTTATTTACTGTAGCACCCCCTGAAACTTCGGTCAAATCTCACTTAACCCCCTCAAAAGTTAAAATGGCCCACGTTACCCCCTTGACCGTGGTTTTGTGTTCCACTTCCCCCCCAGTTAATGCCATCCAAAAGACAGTTAAGAAAGCTGACGTGGTAGGGGCATTATGGTAAAAGCACCCACATGGGCCAATTCCTGACCTTAGTCAGCGGCCTATATGGCATATTGGACCCCACAGGCGTTGAAAATCCTAATCTAAGCGGCTGAGTTCGTAAAGTTTGGCCAAAGAACCTTTTCTCAGTCGATATAATTTGGGGAGATTAGGGTTTGGACTGTATAGAAGAGAGAGATTCGAACATTTGAGAAGAATCTTACAGAAGAGTGAAATCAGAAGAATTAAAATCTGGGCATTGTGTGAATATTGGACAAATTGGACAATGACGGTGCCGAGAGAGAAATGAGGTTCTCAACCCGAGTACAGTAAGTGGCCCTTTGCTTTTCCTTTTGAAATGAAATCGACGAAAGCGATAGATTTATAAAGTGTGGTCCAGGTTTAAACTTCTTTATTGTCTACTTGCTTTGTTGGGTCGGGTCTAAAGGTGTTGAGTTTGATTAGCTTCGAATAAAAAATTGTTGCGGTCCCCTATGTGTTGCTGTTATGTTTTCTTGTTTACTAGTTGATTAAATGTCGTTTTAGTGCTTTACTAGTTGTTTTCTTGTTTACTAGTTCTTGTTTGCTTGTTGTTTAAGGGTTGTTTTAGTGTTTACTGGTATTTTGGTGGTTGTATTGCTATACATATGACTAGGCAGTGGTTGAAGTGTGTGTTTTATGTTCTGTTGTGCAAATGACAAATGAATAGTCACATTTGAAGTACACCATGGAGGTAGAATAGTAAAATTCCCAAACCTCAATAAGTAGTTGTTTTATGTGGGGGGTCTGTTGATTATTTGGACTAGTGTCTTTTAGACTACATAAATTTGTTAGAGATATATGCTTATGCAAAAGAGCTTGGGCATCATGACCAAGTGGTTGTGACAGGGATACAAAATGGTGAAAAAGTGCGTATAGATAGTGATGCTCGGCTACTTGATTGGTGTAATTTGGTGCCTACTAACTTTCAAATAGTGATTGTCATTTACTTGGAACACTCTACTATTGTTAGTGTGGATAAATCTGTATTGGCTTGGAGTAAGAGGGGTCCTATTGCAATAAACCTAACTGCTGAATTTGAACAATCTGGTTATGAGGGTATGTATGAGGAGGATGGCATTGCTGTTGATGAGGAGGACGAGGGTGATGAAGGTACTATTCCTGAGCTTATGCATGTGGAGGAAGCTGGTGATGAATGCACTGTTCCTGAGGGTACAAATGTGGTTGAGGATAGGCATGAAAGAACTGTTCCTGAGGGTATAAATGTGGATGAGAAAGATGATAAAGGTATTGTTCCTGATGGTATAAATGTGGAGGATGGGACTATATGAAGAGGGAGAGAATGACAAAAGGGCTGAAAATGATAGTGAAGACAGTGAAGACCCTGAATTTTATGATAGTGCTTATGACCAAAGTGAAGATGAACAATGCTTGCTGGAGAATGATGAATGTTGACCATAATGCTCCAGATATGGATCCAGCTGCAGATGAAAGAGAGAAATCAGATGATATGGCTATAAGTGATGTTAATAACTTGGATAGTAGCTCATGTGATGAGGTTGAATTGCCTCTGAGAAAAAGGAAGAGGAAACTGCCCACGTTTGAAGATATTAGGCCTAAAACATATTTGAATAAGCCAATCTTTAAGCTTGGTCTAAGATTTCCCAGTGTCTACGTTTTTAGTAAAGCAGTGAGAAACTACTCAGTGTTCAACATACGGAAGATAAAGTTATTCAAGAATGATAAAGATAAAGTCAGAGCAGTTTGTAATGGGATCAAGAATGGAAAATGTCCATTATTTATTTATGCTTCAGCTGTAAATGGAAGTAGCATGGTTCAAATTAAGAGTTATGAAGATGAGCACACCTGTGGGACTATTGAACGCAATGTTCATGCTAACTCATCATGGTTAGCAGAGAGATATGCTACACAGCTGTCTATAATAATAAATTGGGATGTATGAGCGTTTAAGGAAACGGTGAATGAAGATCTACGTGTCATAGCTTTAAGATCACAGATCTATAGAGCAAGGCAAAAGGCAACTATTGTAAGTGAATGGACTTACACAAAATAGTTTGAGACTCTTTGGGATTATGTTGAGGAGCTAAAAAAGACAAATGTGGGAACTACTGTAAAGATTAAGTCCAATTTGGAAGGTGACAAATCTAGATTTGAAAGGATTTATATATGTTTAGCAGCTACAAAGAAAGGATTTATTGATGGTTTGAGGCCAGTTGTTGGTTTGGATGATTGTCACATCAAAAGGCAACATCCTGGCCAATTACTATCTGCTGTTGGTGTTGATCCTAACAACGGCATGTATCCAATAGCTTATGTAGTGGCAAAGGCTGAGAATTATGCAACTTGGACTTGGTTTTTGGAACTCTTAGCTGTTGATCTTGGCATTGAAAATAGTAATGGCTACGTGTTCATTACAGATAGACAAAAGAGCTTAATTGATACAGTGGGTGACATGTTTCCAAACTCTGAGCATAGGCATTGCCCTAAACATCTGCATGCCAATTTTATCCCTGCTGGCCATAGAGGATTAGTTCTAAAACAACATATGGAGGCTGCTGCAAGAAATACAACTATACCTTGGTTTCAAGCAGAGATGAAAAAGCTCCAAGATTTGTTAGGACCAACTTTTGAGTGGTTGTCAAGGCTTGATCCAATACAGTGGTGTAGATCTCACTTCAGAACACACTCAAAATGTGACATTCCCTTGAATAACATGTGTGGGGCATTCAACAAGTCTATATTTGATGCTAGAGACAAGCCTATCATAACATTGCTTCAGAGGATAAGGTATTATATCATGTTGTTGATAGCAACTAGAAAAGAAGCTATGGAGAAATGGGCTCATGATGTGGGGCCAAGAGTTTTTGCAACTCTTGAGAAGCTTAAGAAACAGTCAACCTGGTGCATTCCAAGGCTTGCAGGGGAGAGCAAATATGAGGTTAAGTGTTTTGGAGGCACTCAGGGGGTAGTCGATTTGAGAAACATAAGTTGTTCATGTAGGCAATGAGATCTTATTAGGATCCCATGTAAGCATGATTGTGCTGTCATTGGGCAATTAAATGGCAATCACATCAGCTATGTCCATGATTATTACAAAAAAAGAGGCCTTCATGAAAGCTTACAAACTCATGGTTCATCCAATGGCAAGTCAAGACTTGTAGGCTAAAACAAATTTGCCACATTTGTTGCCACCTAAGTTTCATAAATAGCTAGGGAGGCCAAAGAAAACCAGGATAAGCTCAGCCGGTGAACCATCTTCAAGCTCTAATCTTAAAGCTAAACACTTGCCAAGGTATAATTTGGAAATCAAGTGTTCCATATGTAAGCAACCAAGCCATAATAAGAGGAAATGTCCAAGGGTAAATGAAGCATGGAATAGCAGCCAGGTATATTCAAAGCATGTGATTTTTAAAATTATGTATGTTTGGCATTCTGATATGGATTTCCTAGTGATGTTTGTTGGTCAGGTACCATCACAAAGGCAAAAGAAGACAGCATATCAAGCCAACACATCTACTCAAAGAATTACAAGACAATCAAGGCAAAAACAACCAGTAAGTTGGGTTTCTTTTATTTAAGTAACAGTTTGAGACTCTTCATTTGTAGATATTAATCCAATAGCATGCATTTAATATAACTCTTCCATAATTTTCAGATCATATCAAAGGCTAAAAAAAGGGTCAATCATCACCAAGCTTATTCTCAGTCTAGCCAAGCTCCTCAACCATCTCAAGCTTCTTCTCAGTCTAACCAAACTCCTTAACCATTTCACCAAGTAGCTCAACCATCTTACCAACCAGCTCAACCATCTCACCAACCAGCTTAAGCATCTCAATTTGAACAACCATCTCAAGCATCTTAGTTTGAACAATCCTTTGAAGCTTCTCAGTTTGAACAAGCCTCTCAAGCTCCTCAGTTTGAACAAGCCTCTAAAACTTCTCTGTTTGAACAAGTCTCCCAATCTCAAGCACCAAATTCATCTCAGCCTTTACAAGCTTCCCTACAAAGAAAAGTTAGGTTTAAGTCTCCGGCTAAGAAGAAAGCCTTCTTGGCAAAGTTTAAGCCATGGAGATATTGAAAATCTCTCCTCTGTTTTTGCTGTGTCTTGGGGAACACATGTGTTTTTGGGTAGAAACTGTCTATTTGATATTTGAGTGTCTACTTTATTTTTGGGAACAAGATTGTACAGCATTGCCATGGATGGTGCATATTCAATGAACAGGTGCATATGAGATCTTTTGTATTTTGTTTTGGCATTACCATGGTTTAAACAAGTGCTTAGAAAGTATTCTGAGTTTATGGTTTAAACTGTACAATTTATGTACAAGACTATATGCAGTTTATGTAAAGTTATGAATCAGTGGCAATTGTAAAGCTCTTAAAGGTTTCAACAATTACTGTTGCTTACATAAGTCTTTAGTCATAACCATTACAAAAGGGCTTCGAAAGCATTACATTTGCAAAATGCTAAAGCCATTGCATAAAGACTCTCATATCCCTAAATTGCCATTCAACTAGGTACATTACACAACATTACCTAACTTTCAAACATACCACATTGCCTAAGTTACATTACACAACATTGCCAAACCAAATCATAAACACAAAGGCCCAAGAAATAAACAGAGCAATCCACAACTTCTTCTCTCTTGCTCTTACGCGCCCAATCTGATCTTCAAATTCTCTCTTTGTCCTCAGTAGCCAAGCCATCAGAGCTCTTGGGGAGGCATTTCAATATCAACCCATACAAAAAAAACCACAACATTTTTCCCCCCTCTGCATTCAAACAACAATTCCATCACATTCTCACAAAAAAAATTTCTTCTAATTTTTGATAAAATAGTAAATACAAAACCTACCTCTGATTTTGAACACACAAAGAACCTCCGAAGTGGGTTGGACTCTATCCAAGAAGTTTGCAGCCAAGAAAGCCTCCCACAATAGCAATCAGGTGCATCAACGGTCACCTCTTCTCCTCGTGGAGGTTCTTTCCTCATCTTCACACCCTTTAATCGAACAAAGATGGAGATATTTTTCTCTGGAGAACCTTAAATCCTTCAAATGGTGCTAAGTAGTTGCTCTAAGTTTAGAAACCCTATTATCGAAGAAGAAGAGAGAGAATTCTCATCATCAGCCGCTTAAATTAGGATTTTCAACGCTTGTGGGGTCCAATATGTCACGTAGGCCGCTGACTAAGGTCAGCAATTGGCTTACGTGGGTGCTTTTACCATAATGCCCTTGTCACATCAGCTTTTTTTACGGT